TACCGATAGTTCGGCCATTTTGAAAGTTTTTTGACTGATTTTTTGACTGAACATTACTTACAATCCGTACAAGAAGCCATTGAAAGGATTATATAATTGAACGATAAATGACGAAGTTACAGACCAAACAAGGTTGAAAAAATAAAAATTGAAATTTTTCCCACTTCTAAAGTTGTACATTTCACCAATCACCCGGGTCAGCAGATATCGGTTCAAAAATTCTTGTGAGTGTAGCTAAAGTAAAGTAAAGTAAAGTAAAGTAAAGTAAAAATTATGACATAACATCATCACTAATGTCTACAAAGTATCATCACACTACATGGAAAAATAACTATTTCTCCATCAAATTTAAAGGTAATAATTTATCAAATATTAATCATGAATAAAAACAACATTACAAAATTTAATTTATTCATACTTCCCAGTGGAGTAAAGATTTATAAAACGTTTCTTTGCTACATAAGGATGGAACCACAGATAATCATTGTGTTTTTCCTTATTACTGATATAACTGGTACCTTCAATTCTTGTTAAAACTTCTTTCGAAACATTCCAAAAATGAAAGTCATTTACAATACATTTAGAAATCATATTCTTTTTAAAACTTTCCAATCCAATTTTAAAACTCAAAACTGTCAAGCAGTTCTTCACCTCCGAAGGGAGTTTGTTCCAATAAGGAACAACCCGCTCTGGAAGAAAAGAACACTGAAGATTCTTGACCTTTGTCACACTCTTACTACATCTATTGGATGAAACCAGATTAAGACCTGATCTGCTTGGTCTGAACAAGTCTGAACCATAATCAGTCAAGCCATTAATAACCTTAAAAGCTTCAATAAGGTCCCCACGTATTCGCCGCTCTGCCAGCGTTGTCAAATTAAGGATTTCCAGTCTACGGCTGTAAGGAAGAGTACCCACCTCATCAATCAGACGGGTAAACCGATCATATCAAACTTTTTGGAGTAGGGTTTCTCTCAGATTTGAGTTTTAAGCTATGCAATGTGGCCTCAAACGACTTTGAAATAATTTTTACAGGATCGTAATCAGCTTGGTAAGACGAATCTTTTAGTTCGTCTTACCAAGCTGATTACGATTCTGTAAAAATTATTTCAAAAAAACTGAAACTTTTTGAGTTATAGGTATTTTAAGCCTTAAATCTGCCTTTTTTGCCCTTTTTTACGATGAATTTTACTAAGTCGTTTGAGGCCACATTGCATAGCTTAAAACTCAAATCTGAGAGAAATCCTATGATCATCAGCTACACTCACAAGAATTTTTAACCATCAAATAACGGAGTAGTTCGCTGTTTATTAGTCTCATGATTGAAATACTGATATCTGGATATTATCCGGTTGGAAGAGACAAGGACAAGTGAAACAAGGAAGTTAGGAGTAAGGGCAAATTTTCGGCGTCAACGCCATCTTCAGGCTAAAATTGTTATAAATGTTAGTATATAATAAATGCTTCTATACTAGTTAAAATGCTAAATTAAAATTACACACACTGAATACAGGTTACATCAAATGGTATTGTACATTACATTGAAAATAGTGATGTACACACGTTTTACACTCTGTCCAAGTACATAATATCTACTGAACAGCAGGGTCGTGTGCTATTTGTTTAAATTTGTCTTTGAATATCGTCACCTCCAAGTAGAAAGGGTACATCTGCAAAAGTGCTGTTTTGAGTAAATCAAGAAAAACTGTTTAATGCTGTGCATTGTGCCCTTGGAAAGCAGTAGTATGTTGCTTAGACAACCCCTACAGGCTAATTAATGAACAAAGCATAAATTTTCCGTTTTATCATTATAGATGTCAATTAAATACGGATTGAAAAACAAGTTGTACCCTTTTAACTTGTTGTATCAAGTTGTACCCTTTTAACTTGCTGGGACCAAAGTTCGAGCATGTTTAATATTGGGGTATATCTCTATATGTACCCTTTTAACTCAAAAGACTACATCTGGTCAGTATGTTTATTAGCCTGTAATTTATTGTAATATATTCTAATAAACAAATAAAACACATGAAATTATTACTAGAAGACTATTAATTACTATTAAAACATAAATAGCTATTCCATATCGGTATCAGAATCCTCAGACGCATGTTCTTCATCAGACTCCCCGCCACATACTGAACTGAGGTCTTTATAGTATTGATGATATTCCCTTGGTATAATGTTTTTCTCACAAAGCTTCACAAGAGGCAACAAAACTTTCTGACTAACAGGGATCTCTGTGGTATCATCATATAAGTTAGTTAGCTTGAAGATCTGCCGCTTCTTTGACCGTAGTTCTTTCTTCTCATGGACATAGCACTTTTTGCTGGTGTCGACTAACACTCCTACTGATTCGGGATCAGCATTGCAGTTGATACTAACAGATCTACTGCCCCTTGTGAAACTTATCTGTTTAGCCGTTTTCCAGCTTGCTAACTTCACTATGGGCTTTCTATCCTCAATCACTCGGTATCTGTTTCTGTTCACAATACTCTGCTCTGCCAACTTGTGGTTGTCAAACACTGGATACTGATTAGATGCCAGATCAAACGTTTTGATAGGTTTTCTTCCTTGAGCACTCCGGGCGAGCTCTTTATACCTTATTGGTACGAATACCTCCTGGTTTTTGTTTGCTCGCTCGAGTATCTGATGTATAGTATCAACCTCGCTCTGGTTATGTCCTCTTTCGAAGAACCTCAAAGTGATCTTTTTGATTTTGTGGTTTGTAGTTTTTACTTCTTCATTTAGAAAGTACATTAATACAGCAGCATTTTCCTTGTTCCTGTTTTGGGCAACTTGGTCGTTTAGCTCCGGACAGTCTATGCAACGTCTATGCAACGTCCATGCAACAACAAAAGAACCGTCTATGCAACGTCTATGCAACGTCCCTGCACAATGAACACTCTATGCACACTCCCTGCACGGTCAGTCTATGCAACGTCTATGCAACGTCCCTGCACAGTACCATATGAACACCGGCTACTAGCCGGCTACTAGCCGGCTACTAGCCGGCTAGTAGCCACTTTTCAAGTGCCGGTTAGTAGCCGGTTGTTAATGTGAAGTTGAGGAGCTGTTATTACAAAAGTGTGTTCATATGGTACTGTGCAGGGACGTTGCATAGACGTTGCATAGACGTTGCATAGACTGACCGTGCAGGGAGTGTGCATAGAGTGTTCATTGTGCAGGGACGTTGCATAGACGTTGCATAGACGGTTCTTTTGTTGTTGCACGGACGTTGCATAGACGTTGCATAGACTGTCCGGAGCTAAACGACCAACTTCCCCTGTTTTGCCCCCCACATGTATCCGCCCATATAGCAACTTCTTCTGTTTCTTTAGGCAATTTCCTAAGTATGTGTAGAATACATGATCCCACCTCATTTGATCCTCTGCAGCCCATTGTCGAATCCCACATGAAGCATACCTTTGTACCATCTTTCAAATGGTAGCACGAAAGATTATAGCATGATATCTTGGATAGATAATAAAATTCTCCAGATTTTGCTTTAGGACAGTTTTGTACTGCCTCCATATCGATTATCAAAGCAGCAAATTTTGGATCATCTTTTGCTCTCTCTTTGTCTGCGTTCTTTGAGCTTCTACAGGCATCCTTCCTTGCAATGTGTTCATTCCATAAGATGATATCTTCTTCAATCTTGTTTGAGTTATTGTACTTGGTACATTCGTCACATTGATCGTTTTTTGGCTTGAAAAACCCAATGTGAAAAGTATTCAGTACTTTCTTATACGACGACAAACTAATAACAATAGTAGGATGGCTTGTCTTGAAAAGATCGAACATTTTCTTTGGAGTCATATCATCCTCGAAGTACCTATTTTTTGTGTACTTCCTCCGGTAGTGTGATGGAACTGTCGGGAAGCTGGACAGGTGAGCCCTGATTATACTGGAAACATCTTTAGTTATTGTGCTGTTGTTTGAGGCTTTGCCGGTATGCCCATGGACCATTGATTTTTCATCATATTTTTTCTTTAAGACTACCGTCACTTTTTTGTTTGTGATCCCTAAAGTCTTCAGAAACATCGTTTTACAGACAGTAACCTTATCTTCCTCTGTGGATATGGGTACACTTGTTGGCAGAGAGTAGTGAACTGTATACTTTCTGTTGTGCTTCCTTATTGAAGTAAGAACTGTGTCACGCTGTTTGTGTTTTCTATTAAGGAGTTTGCTCAGAAATAAGTTGTTGTCACCATACTCACCACTCCTCTCCTGTGTCCAGTAGAATTCACGAATACTTTGTTGGGTATTCGCATCTATCTTGTTATAGCACTTATCTCTGCAATTACAGGTCTCCATTGGGTCATCGAAAGTTGTCATCTTTATACATTTTTCTTCTTTTCTTTTTTTCGCTCTCGTGCTTGCAGTCTCTTTCCTGGCGACTTTTTTTAGAGGTATATTGTCATCCAGTCTAACCTCCATCTCTTTTGTAGGCCACATAATAATGTCTCCAATTTTGAAATGCAGCTTCTCAACATTTGACTTTTCTTTTAAATTGTCTACATTCTTTCCGAAGATCATACTAACTTCCACTTCTTGTTGTATATCCTCAGTACATATACCTTTCTCGACTCTTCCTATTGCAATCTGAACATGGGTCCAAAAGATGTCTACTCTAGTGTCATACTTTTCATCCCTCGCCCGCTTTTCACTAGTTGCTGCGGAATCCTTCTCTCGATTGCATTGGGAGGGTGTACTTTCTCGACTGATACATAAAGTGCTCCAAGCAATGTAGGTATCTTCAACGTGGAAATCTTCATCGTAGTTTGTAATATTTGACTTGTAGACACATGTTATCAAGAATCTTTCTTCGTCATCTTTTAAGTGACGGCAGTGGACAATTCTGTTTTCCTTATCAGTAGGATGATATTTAGCTTTGAACTGTTTCTTGCCGCAGCTATCCAACAGATATACTTCCTTTCCTTCTTTTAGTTCTTGCACAGTATTCTGGCCAGCAACAGGTTGTTCGGGGTCGGGCGTGGCTAGAATGTCGGGCGTGGGTAGATCTGACTGGAGAAATCTCTTTCTCTGGTTTCCTCCTTCATCTGCCTCAGAGCGGTTCCCTCCTTCATCTGCCTCAGAGCGGTCTCCTCCTTCATCTGCCTCAGAGCGGTCTCCTCCTTCATCTGCTTCAGAGCGGTTTCCTCGTTCATCTGCCTCAGAGCGGTTTCCTCCTTCATCTGCCACAGAGCGGTTTCCTCCTTCATCTGCCTCAGAGCGGTTTCCTCGTTCATCTGCCTCAGAGCGGTTTCCTCCTTCGTCTGCTTCAGAGCGGTTACCTCCTTCATCTGCCTCAGAAAGATTTCCTCCTTCATCTGCCTCAGAGCGGTTTCCTCCTTCATCTGCCACAGAGCGGTTTCCTCCTTCATCTGCCTCAGAGCGGTTTCCTCCTTCATCTGCCACAGAGCGGTTTCCTCCTTCATCTGCCTCAGAGCGGTTTCCTCCTTTATCTGCCTCAGAGCGGTTTCCTCCTTCGTCTGCTTTAGAGCGGTTTCCTCCTTCATCTGCCTCAGAGCGGTTTCCTCCTTCATCTGCCTCAGAGCGGTCTCCTCCTTCATCTGCCTCAGAGCGGTTTCCTCCTTCATCTGCCCCAGAGCGGTTTCCTCCTTCATTTGCCTCAGAGCGGTTTCCTCCTTCATTTCCCTCAGAGCGGTTTCCTCCTTCATTTGCCCAGTCAGATCCATCTCCAATTTGTGTTTCAACAGCTGAAACAGGACGTTATTAATTTATATAATATTATACTTATTGTAGCACAGCTGCAATAGGAACACCAAATACCTAAATACGATGGAATTTCAATCCATGGACATCATTCCAGAATATCAACTCACCAATTCTTATGTACTTTTCCGAAACATTTTGTGTAACACCATTCGCACAAAAAGTTAAACAATATACCTTGTTCTGCCTTAGTTCTATTAAGGTCAAGGATCGAAATATATATAAGGCAAGAGTCAAACCAGTAATATGGGAACAAGCCAAAGTTATTTATTAACAGTGCTACTGCAAACAAAGCCGTTATATATTTTCAAGGCCAACCTGGTGGATAAGTGGTAGTAGTGTAGTGAACTGTACTCTCTGTCATTACCGTCTCCTCCAACATCACCTGGACTGTACTCTCTGTCTGCTCCTCATCTCCAATACCCTGGACTGTAGTCTTCGTAGATTCAACAGTTACTGCATCAATCGTACCGGTCAAACTTTTCGAAAGATCTGCTACTGGAATGTCAACCCCTTTGCCATCCACATCGAATCTTACGTATGCTCTTCCATTTGATTTTGATATTGTGATGATACTTCCCCATAGCACAAGTATATCACAGGATAACGTGGCTGAGTAACTGGTTTCTTCACGATCGAAATAGTCTCGGGGAACTGATACCCTATCTCCTGGCTTAACAACCGTTCCTTCCTTATCCTTGTGTCCTCTGCGTCTTTTAGACATAATCTAAAGATTACTATCAAAATATATCACATTATTAAGCCCTAATAACGCATTAAACGGAAAACAGACGTTTCTAGACTCATGTACTTCACTTATGATACCGATACGATTTTGAAAATAACGAGAAATATTTTGGATTAATCAGGCTTGTAGTTGTAAATATTTGCCGAGCGCTCTCGCGGGGGCCATAACCCCCTGTACTTTTTCTGAGATCCAACCCCAGCTTAAGGATTTGTATAAATGATAATACAAAGAGAGAAACATTAACTTGAACCTACAGTACAAGTTCAGGAACTAATGTACACAGAACGGGATCTCCCTGATAATCTGTTAAAGATTCAGAGATAAATGATATTGTGTTAGAATATATATTTTACAGCTATACAATGGAAGTGAAACTATACTAAATTGGTTTTTATACTTTGAATACTAATAGGTCGTTAATAACCCGATAAGAAAATGTTTTGTTGGAATATACATACAATTATAATCGTACCAGTCTTGTTTTTAAAGGGGTACATGTAGACTTATACCCTTTTAACCTATATAAAATTTGGTAAGAATGAATTATTAAAAGGGACCATCTCAATTTGTATCCTTTTTACTTATCGGTCTAGGTGCGCTATTTTAGATATAAAAAGGGGTTAAGTTGACTTATGTCATTTCTAAAAATTAGGGTTACCTAAATTTTCATCAAATCAAGTTGATACTTGGTGACATGATGAGTCATGACCCGAGGGTTCCAAAACCGGTGAACAAATAGAAAGGGTATATCTTAACTTGTACCCTTTCTACTTGGAGGTGACGATATGTTGTAAAAGAAATCCCTTAAGCTTCTCGCACTCTTCTTTGTTATTGATACTAGGTTTAAATAAATTAATGTAGTAAGCTTCTGTTACTTTACGTTTAATGGTGCTATATAAGTTAATTTCTAAAATATCGAAGGAAATATCTGGTTCTATGTTATCGTGAAACTCTGAATAATGAGCAGCCAACGCATTATCAGGATAGGTTAAAGGCCTGTTGACTGCTCTTCGATGCTCTGAAAGTCTATCGTGTGCTGTTCTACTCGTTTCCCCTATATATAGCTCTTGACATAATTTACACGTAACTTTGTATATGACACATTTTGGTTTGCAGTCGTGATTTGTTGTGATGAGTGGACATATGATACAGTTTGGTATGGTGCAGTGTGGTTTGTCGTGTGGTCTTGATGAACATAAGATCTCTGAGAGTTTCTTACCTGGTGTGAATATGAATTTGACCGGTAAGTTGTGTGAGAGGGCAAATTGAGTGACTTCTTTGGAAAATGGCTCGTTGATGAATGGTAGAGTGCATGTTACGTGGTCGGTATCTTGTATGTTTGATGATGAAGGGTTATGACGTGTTGTAGGTGAGAGAGGGTGAAGTCGTCCTGTTTTGTTTATACGTCGTGGGTCTTGGTAACCGTTGGCTGCTCATTATTCAGAGTTTCACGATAACATAGAACCAGATATTTCCTTCGATATTTTAGAAATTAACTTATATAGCACCATTAAACGTAAAGTAACAGAAGCTTACTACATTAATTTATTTAAACCTAGTATCAATAACAAAGAAGAGTGCGAGAAGCTTAAGGGATTTCTTTTACAACATATTCAAAGACAAATTTAAACAAATAGCACACGACCCTGCTGTTCAGTAGATATTATGTACTTGGACAGAGTGTAAAACGTGTGTACATCACTATTTTCAATGTAATGTACAATACCATTTGATGTAACCTGTATTCAGTGTGTGTAATTTTAATTTAGCATTTTAACTAGTATAGAAGCATTTATTATATACTAACATTTATAACAATTTTAGCCTGAAGATGGCGTTGACGCCGAAAATTTGCCCTTACTCCTAACTTCCTTGTTTCACTTGTCCTTGTCTCTTCCAACCGGATAATATCCAGATATCAATTTTTAACCATAATATAAAATAAAATCGATGTTCGGAGCAAAAACGTTTTTGGTGTATCTCCCCTTAACTGACCTTATGTTATCTCCAGTAATAATATAATTGAATATTGATAACCCCATATACATTTCCCCATTTATCATTATTCTATTTATTTAATTGATATAATATTTTATCATCGTGTACAGTGTCTATGGTTATAGTATATAGTTTTATAATGAGATTAATCAGAGCTGTAATATATTGAATTATACCATTATAATATTAGAAGGATAAAGACACAATTTTGAGCTTGAGTGGTGCAGGGCAGGGGGCAAAATCTTTTATGCACGGGTAATGGTGTGGGAGCAGTGGCGTAACAAAGGGCGCCATCTTAGGGGGGCGCAAAATCTTCGTTTGAATGTGGGACAATTTTGAAAAAATTAACTGAGGTACTAGCAAAACTGCACGTCTTGCTCTAGAAACACACTTTTTTAGAGATTTTTCCGGCGTATCCGCTAAAATCACCTAATTTGTTCAATTTTAGGGACAGGCGCAAAAAGGGGAGGGGGCGCATTTTCGGCGGGGCGCCAACAGGCAACATAACGCCACTGTGTGGGAGCGTGTCCTGTTGGGTTGTGAATGCGTAAATTTGGGTTGTAGTTCGAGTTGGAGATTTTGGTTTTGTGTCATAGCAATAGTATAATTATAGTTATCTAATCTTTAGTTTAGAGTGTTGCATGTATTATAATTGTAAGTTTATTAATTTTTAATAATTGTTTTTCTCTTCTATGAGTAATTTGGCGCTCCACTCGCTACCTTAAAGCTACAACTTAGCCTGTATTTAAGTCAGTCGTTTTAATACATTCAACACTGTTATATAATTGACTAGACACCCGCTAGTCGAAAGCTTTGCTCGAGGAAATTTTAAAAATCAGTTATGTTTTAATTTCTCTTCATCATCTAGCCCTGTTATACTGTAGAAATTATGGACTTTGCGTCAAGTTTGAAATATAAATAGATATATTCTCAATAGTATTGCCTGAATAAATAGTATCTCATGTAGAGAAGATTAGTATGATACAATACTAGGAACAGTGTACGTGTGTGCCTTGTGTAAAGCTGTAGGTACTTCGCATGACAATAGCTGGATAACACAACATTGTTTACACACATTTTGAGTACCTTCTTAGCTTAACAATTACAGTGAATGGGATATATATATAATTTTGAATAGGGAATGTTATGACATGATTGGATCTTGTGATATAAAGTAAGAATAGCTCATCGCATGTAATCCTCGACAAGCTAGTATGTTTTACTACTTGAAGCTTTCGGTTCTTCACGATTGACTTTAACATTGATTACTTTAACTGGTTGTTTCACTTGTCCTCACTTACTTTAATAGGATCAAAAGTTCCATTTTCGTATTTGGCAGGACGAGGTCTATCTTCATTATCTATGATTAAATACCAAACATATTATGATAACAAAATCAAGACAAATAACACTATCTTTATATTTAACAGGAATGATGGCCGGGGAAAGTATAACACCATCTGTAATTCCCTCGCGTCCCTACGTGGACCACATTCCCCAGAACCTTAAGTTATCTGAACACTTCAGTTCACTCATGCTCAGCTTTGACCGCTGGGCAACAATCATAGAGGTTTTATCCATGACAATCTTAACTTTTGTTGCTTGGTTCTTCGAGATTAAAGTTGAAGGGAGCTTGTCTTTGTTCCATGTAGCGCTTGCAAAGTGGGGCTTGAGCTTGTTCAGGAGGGTTTACAACAACTATTTGGAGGCAACTTTCTGTGCATTTCCTAGCTACAGGACCCAGACTGTGTCTGAGCATCGACTGAAGAAGGAGAGGGATCTGACTGGACGAGACAAGGAGCAGATGAAATACATTGTTTACCAGGATAAATTGATTTTTGCCGGTCAGTTCTGTTTTGATTTGGTGGTTTACTTCATGCTGCCTGGTTATTATCCGGGAGGGGATATCACAGGTACTCTCTTGCAGAGGGTCATGAAACTAGCTCTCAACCATTATGTTCTGTCATTTGGCATGTATTGGGGTCACAGAGCACTCCACAAAAATGCGTGGCTTTGGAGGAATGTTCACTCTGTCCATCACTTTGCAAAGCATCCATTGTCAAGGACAACCTTCCAAGAGCACTGGGGCGATAAGATCTGGAATGCCTTTTTTGGGCACTTGTTTGCTCAGCTTCTCGTGCCCTTGGATAGGCAAATGTTCTATGTTTCGAGGATCCTACGAACATGTGAGAGCCTGGAGAAGCATTCTGGATCAAGTGGTCCTTTCAATCTGGTTCATTCGGTTCAGAGGTGGATTCCATTTGCAGACATGCCCCACCATCACGACTGGCACCACGAGGGACACAAGGGTTCCAACTATTCCTTCACACCCGTTGGGGGACTTTGGGACTGCCTGTTCGGAACAAGAAATGCTGGACGAGCTTCTGAGGCGGCGCAGACTTCAAATGATGTGTTGGAAAAAAGGCAAAAGAGGGTGCCTCCCACAGCTGATACAAGCTTCTTTGACGGGCAATATTCCTGTTTTATCCCGCAAGCGTGTATGACAGGAGCTGTTGCTTTGAGGTTAATGAACATTATTTAAGTGGAAGATGTTGTTATCAAAGTCTTGATACTTCAAATCTGGAGTTCAGTTAGCTGGAGCAGTTTAGCAAGCTTTACTAGTGTAGGCCCGGGCAATAAAACGCATTTTGCTGTTTTTAGTTTTATAGTTTTAACAGTCTTCGAAAACTGGTAATCTTTTTTCGCTCTTATGAGTGGGTCAATCATTTATTTTGAATTGTAGTTGTCAACGTTTCGGCTAAGTTATCAATAAGTCCTGTCTATGACAAAAGCTGAAAGGCATGTAGCCGAAACGTCGACAAAGAATTATGTTTTAACACACTGAGTGGAGACTCTCACTTCGTCAACTACAATTCAAAATAAAGTCTTCGAAAACATTTTTATTTTATAACTGTATTCAGTATTTCGTTTTTAATCAGATTATTTTGGTAAGAGATAAATCTACCGTGACCCTATTCATGTTGAATAACTAATATATTGATAAGATCTTGTATTTTGTATTTTGTACATCGAACAGCATTTTAACATCGGAATTTATATTCAATTTCAGTGTGAATCTCGATAGTTTTAAATTTAATCAACATTTCTGAATATGAGTGTGACATTTTGAATCGTGATTTATCTATTAACCTATATTAGAATATTGTCATCACTGAATCTATTCAGAAAAATCATAATAGTTCCTGAAAGAATCATCAAAAGAGAAAAAATTTGAAAAAGAGAAACCTGAACAAATCATCAAAAGAGCAATCGGAATTGCTGTACATTTCATAAATCAGAGACTGTTTACTGTTTAGGGATCGTTCACATATTACGTAATTACTTTTTGGCCTATTTTTAACATCCCCTTCCGTAGTCAGTTTTACCAAAGCTATCTATACTAATACAAGTAACTTTTTGTTGTACGTTTCATAAATCAGAGGTAGTAGCTGGACTATTATAAAATTAAGTAATTTGGCAGGAAACCTCAAGATTGTCTATCAATTAGTATCACTATAAGATACCAGAGGGGCACTCAAAATTAAATTGCGGTGTGTTTGGACTGATATGAGCGAGTTCTTAACTACGAAAATGTAATGCGTTTTTCAGAATATAATAGGCGGGTTTAAACTTTTGCATTTCAACTGCGATAGTGAAGTCCTGGTCATAGGTACGGGTTACACTAGTTACACTAAAACAAGTAAGTATATTTTTCCTCATTTCCGACGTTGATTATATTTACACTGGCGCAAATTGGAAAATGTGATTAAACTTTGCGAACTTTTAATCACGTACAGGAAAATGACGCGTACACAGTTTAATAATGGTTTTAGCGTCAAACTTAAAGTAGAGGATCACTGACCAGTGACACAGTGAGCTTGCTGGGGAGTCTATTTCTCTTTTAAAAATATTAGTAATAACAACAGATATCGTTTATTATTTACAAAAAAATGGGGCTGATTCGTGTCACATACGTGTTTGAAACATTAAAGATGGTGGCTGGCTTGATGCAGTTCAAATTTTCGTGGTGTCAATCGTGTCTTTTTCAGTGACGAAATATAAGATATTAATCACTATGTACCTAGCTTTCGTTTTCCCTTGATTTAGGGTTGCCAACCGATATTATCGGCCGATAATTATCGGCGATAATTTGCCAAAGATCTTTATCGATCTGATTCTTTGTTTGTCATGTTAAACACGACTGCTACCATAATTTGCTATGTAATGGACGATGGTATGCTGACGTGCTATGTAGTCTGTAGTTTTTATGAATTTGCGGCAGTGAAAATTGAAATGTCGTGTTATATTATCGCATCTAGTTAGTTATGAGTTAAGTAGGTACTTGGAGGTTGTATGATCAGACGCAGTTATTCTGGTTTTTGATGCACGGAAAGAAACTCATACTGCAACGAGACTGCACAACCTGTTCGAGTTTGCTGTGTGGTGTGTATATGTTGAAGAGATATTACCGGATAACTGATGCAGTGAACGAAGTTTTGGTTGACTCGGAGCTAGGTAATCTAATACGGAATACAGGATAGACTGAGTTAGACATGAGTTAGACATCATTAAGACTGTGTTAAAGAGACAACAATCTCCCTCAAGCTAGCAGAAGTGAATGTTCAGTTTATTGATAGCAAGCCATGGAAGAGTCAAAGACAAAAGATAGACTCGCCACTTTCTCGAACCCTTCTTGATAGGCTACGTACGCGATATGTCAAGAGATTAGAGAAAGAACCTTAACTTCGTATGATCGCTGGTAACGTTATACTCGGACCCCGGTATTCTAGCTGCAGATGCATATCAAGACTACAAAATGATCACTAAGTAAACCTTGATACGTAATTCTAATTCTCTGCAGAGAAACAATAGGCCTAAAGAACATATTTTGTCGATGAAATATGGGCTTGTTAAAGGGCAATACCAATATTGCAATTGATTCTATAGAAAAGCATTAAGCAATTCTATAGAAAAGAATAAAGCACACGATAATGCTATTAAAGTAATTCTAATTCTCTGCAGAGAAACAATAGGCCATACTGTCGATGAAATATGGGCTTGTTAAAGGGCAATGCCAATATTCCAATTATTTTTATAGAAAAGCATTAAGCAATTCTATAGAAAATGATAAAGCCAACGATAATGCGATTAAAGTTTGCTATTTTTATCTTCAAAGTTCGAATTTAATCGATTTTTGGAAATTAAATTCAATTAATGATATTGTAACTATATAATGATGATGTAACAAGGTTACATAGCATAGGAGCATAATTCAAGTATGCATAGTGCAGAAAAATATTACTTCTATTATCTTGCCAAATTTATCGCCGATAACCGATATTATCGCGATAATTTTGAAAAATTAGTTATCGACTATCGCGATTAAAAAAATTGTACCGATAATGGCAACCCTACCTTGATTAGTATTAATTGGTAAGGTTTTCACTTCATAGGTGGTAAATATAGTTTCTCAGGGCATAATTTGGGGTAGAGTACAGTATGAGGTTAACATTTTGACTTTCACGCACAGATGTTTTACCAATATAATATGTTTTGGCAAATGTTTATTATGTAATAGTATTTTACATATTCACATGAGTTTTGGGTTATTGGGTTATTTTAGGTGAACGCTAAACATTGGTTATTCCTACCACCCATCAAATCTTGAATTAAACAAATCTTTGATTGATAATGAAGTTTTCAACTAAAAATAAGAGTTCAACAGCTCTTTAACTTTCAATAAATATGACCTTAGAAATCAGTATTGCGGCAGCATAACTAAAATGAGATTATCTATCCTTAATAGTATTTTTACTGGCGCCAATTGGAAAATATGGGTAAACATTTAATTTTGTTAAACAAACATCATTAAAACATTTTGTTAAACAAACATTCCTCCTCATTTGTGTCAGATACATGTTTTATTCATTAAAGATGGTGGCTGGCTTGATGAAGTTCAAATTTTCGTGGTATTAATCTTTTTCAGTGACGCAATATAAGATATTAATCACTATGTATAGCCTTTATTTTCCCTAAGTTTTGTAAGCTTAGTAATAATATTGGTATATTTTAGGTGAAAATTAAACATTGGTTACTTCTACCACCTATTAAATCTTGAAATGATAATGAAGTTTTCAACTAAAAATAGGGGGGGGGGGGGGGGTCAACCTCTTTTTACCTCATTCGGGCAGCCAAAAAAGGCAAAATTGGGATGAGGTAAAATGAGGCAAAATAAGAGTTCAACAGCTCATAAACTTTAAATATTATTAAAAGTTTATGAGCTGTTGACATATTACGTAATCAGCCGAGGGGGGGGGGGGGTTTCAAATGATTACGGTTGATTACAGGGGGGGGGGGGGGATCGTTGATCATGTAATCAAAATTTTAATTTTTTACCGATTTTCGAAATACCAATTGGACAATTTTCGTTAATTATGTAATCAAAATTTTCGTTTTTTAAACCAATTTTCGTTTAGTAAGTGCTTTGCGATTATTTCATTCATTAATCCGTTGTGATAGCTTTTAATAAATAAATGGCTTAACATGAACATGTAATAGATAGTAATAAAATTAAATCAGTAATAAAATTAAATCAGTAATAAAATTAAATCAACGACAAAATTACACAATATCTATACGTTTAAGAACATAGAGCTCTTTCAAAGCAGCTCTTACAGCGGGTAGTGTCTTCATGCTTGGGAACTGACAAAATGGGGGGGGGGGGTCAAACCTTGATTACGTAATATAGGGGGGAGTGGGGGGTTCGGTCTTGATTTCGGTTGATTACGGAGGGGGGTAAAAATTGCCAAAATATTGAGTACGTAATATGTGAACGACCCCTAAGTAGGACCTTAGAAATCAGTAGAGCGGCGGCGGCACCCAAATCACATAAATATAAACAAAAAAGAAGAGCGTGCATGACGCGCGCGCCTACCATGCGGTTAGCACTGTCTGGGTGCACCATGCAGCCACCGTTCGCAGTTTGATTCAAATTGAGGTAATGATTTATCACTTGAATTTATCAACCATTTAATTAATTTGGAAATCAAATTTCAAGCCAGAGGCTCCGGGAACAAATCAAAAAGAATGTTATAACTATGTCAATTAAAACAATATACAAATAAATAACACACTAACTCCGAAATATCTGGTAATCCAATTCTCAAAACAGTCATCCACGTCATAAAAACCTATCCAAGAATCTCACTCAGATCAATTTGCAAAGATCCAACGGTCCTCATTATATCTTTTTAATTGCTCGGTTATGTGGAGAGCATGTGGCAGTGTATAACGTACGGGGGCCGGAGGTCTTTTGGAGACAAAATATCATTCATGAGTACAGCTTGAAGGGTAAAGATGGGGGTTTCGGATGGGACATGTTAGTCTGTAATGTAGGGATACATTCGCCGATGGAATGCACCCAACAATTATTCAATTATGCTTTGAAAGTCAAACAATAATAATTATGTGAGTATCACAGGGCAAAAAGGCTGCCTGACGCAGTTGTATCCAGCATGTGAACAATATAATAAACATTTCTAGTAATATAATCCAAATATTTCTAGTTTTAGAATATGACCTCAAATCCAATTGCCACTCTGAAAATGCTTCCCATAAAATTGGAGCCAGACTTAATTAAGGAACTAAATTTGACAGAATCCTGTCCTAATAAAACATCTGACATTCGGCAATTTCTGCATAATATATTAGGAAAAAGTTAGAATCAGCCAGGTGAACCACGGGGAAAATTGTAACTTTAAAACCTATCAGCTTGCAAACTTCATAAAACAAAGTTTAGGTAAATGAACCAGCATCAAATTTAAATAAACTTTAAATTCCAATTAAAGCCGAATAATTAAAATTTCTAAAGAATCGTCCTATATTACAATTCTTCTTTATTTTCCTTATCGTCCTTTTCTTCTACAACTTCTTCTTTAGGCTTCTCTTCAACAACTTCTTCTTTGGGCTTATCCTCAATAGTGGAGGTCTTCTCTTCAGTGGATTCTTCTTTCGGGGTTTCAACCGGTTTCTCCTCAGATTTTGTGTCTGCTTTATCATCAGATTTTGCTTCTTCCTTGTCTTCCAGTTTTGTCTCTTCTGCTTTCCCTTCTTCTGTCTTCTCCTCCTTCTTCCCCTCTTCGGTAGTCGTACTCTTCTTTGCTTCCTCTGCAGTCTTGGTACTGTTCTTCAGCGCCTCCATCATCTTAGCCAGTTTATCTTTGTACCACTGAGGGATTGGTTTCCTAACAAGATAGGACAAGTCCCGTTCAAGTGCTGTCTTCTTTGTCTTGATTACCTCCGACTTAAGGACCGGATCTACGTTCTTGGATAAAGCATCCTGTGCTTTTCCAGTTGTCTCAAGCCACTCCTGAAAGACAAAACTTGTTAGTTTACTGTTAGTTTAGCTGCGTGTAGTACTGATGAAATTAGCCAAAGGTTTCCTTGGAGCCAGAGAATCAATTATTCCCAACATCCAATAATTAAGTAGCCACCATGCATAAAAAGTGCATCTTAAAAAGGGCACAGCTGAAAGATAAAATCCGTTCGGACCTATAAATCTAAAGTTCTCTATAACTCCTCTCGCGCTCTCTTTTGGCTAATTTCATCAGGTTTAACATGCTTTTGTTTGCCTCGTCAAGAACTGTCAATATGTCCCGAGCGTAAGGGAACGACGGGTGGTAATTTCCAGATTTGTTCTTGAGTCGGTCAAATTTCGGCTGAAATATGTGTGCCACACATTAACAACAGCTTAAATGGAGTGAGGCTCAGCTGCGTTATGTGAAATTGCGATGAAATGTAGAGATGAAATGTAGAGATGGAATGTAGAGATGAAAGTGGACGTCTAAAAATTAGCTAATATCACTCCGCTACCTCCGAACCCATGATTGAGCTCATGTTTGAACCCTTCCCTTTAAAACAAGCTCAACTACTCAATGAGAAATTGCCGTGAAATTGCGTCCAGAAGCAAGCTAATCAACATACCAATATTTGATCTCATTTATGCTGCTCCCACCCCCTCCCCATATAAAAAGTTGTAGTATCCCATTACCTTGGTAGAGGTGAGCAGTTTCTCCAAGTTCTCCATCTCGACGGTAGTGTGGTAGCGGAACTCTTCCGAAGTGTTCGCTATCTTTACCAGGAACTGTTCTGTCAGGTTGAACGCTTGCTTCAAATCTGAAACGTGCGATTTGTTAATGTTACAGTTTCCACGTTTCATGTAACGTGCATTTTAACCCGGAATGTCCGTACAATATACTGTTTGTTTCCGTGGCGCAAATTTGCAGATAAATTTTGTAATCAGACACACTGTAACTATTTGTAAAATGCACTTATATTGTCTGGATTTACAAATACCAGCAAACTCACCACAAGTCACACACCGATTGTCATTATATTTATGTCGGAGCTAATTTAACTGAACTAGCCGACCAATTTAGACTCTAAGTCAGGAGACCAGGAGCTCCTGAGTTAGTGTCACAACTGCGCTCCATGCATATAATTGGATGCCCCGTGTTCTAACTATCCGCAATGCAGATAATTATGTCCAATATCTATACCGTTCCAACTGTGAAGCGACCAGACGTCGAGACCCCGACATATCTACATATCTACATATTTATCTGCAACTTAAAGAATTTCTACGGTACTACCAGAGTACCATCGGGTACCATATGGTACGGTAATTTAGAAGCGTGGTGAGGGTAACATTTAATTGACACTTCTTTGAGAACTTCTTAGTCTAATTCTATTTGGGGTACGGTGTTGGTAGCTGGTACTCAATGTGTACTAACTATAACTGTTGTTTCAGAGCTGCACAGTTGTTGTTCGAGATAAGTCGAATTTCGTAGATCTTAGTGGTTGAACTTTTAAGGTCATGCATTTTTTTTCGGTTGAGAATGAGCAGGTTCAATATCATTACTTAGTATCTATCACCGATCCACCATTTATTGTCTATAAATCCGGAGGAAACTCTCAATGCTTCACCGTCACAAGTGAGACTTCAAGGTCATTATAACCTGGTAATCTGACTGAAATACAATAATTCTTATAGAGTTAGTTCGAACCATCTGGTCCCTTCTTCTATCCTTCAACCCATAATGTTAGAACCAAAGAGTAATGTGAGTTAAATACAATAGAATTAGTAGGGCCAGGTAACATGAACTGTGGCTCTTTTGGAACCAGTGATGTGTTAAATTGGTGAAATACTGAAGGAGGATGGAGTGTTGTGATGATCGCTGAGTGATGATTTCTGATTTGAAACAATTTGAGTTTACATTCCTGTTTAAAGAACCGGATTAATTTTATATTTTTATTCTCAAGGTTCGAAGTAGTGTGTGTAGATCGATTCGTCAAACCTCTTAGTAGTTCTTGTGAAGCGTATGTATAAGTGAGACTAAGATTTCCGATTTCAAACAGGTGCCCTTTCGATGATCAGTAAAGTTAACACTATTAATGGTCAATAGCCAACACCGCTTCTGATGGCTATTTTTTAGATTCTCTAAGAAAACCGCATCTTTAGTCTCTTATAAGGCAAATCTTTAACCAGAAACTGGCATTTATCTTTTACGTAGGGGTTTGTTAAATTAATTTTACAGGATTCCAGGGCTGGATAAATTGTTGAAAAGGTGTCGAAAGGCATTTGATTTGAGGGTTGACGCGGGACGCCTGGCGGTAGAGTCTGTACTTATTACGTTCTTAATACAGGTTTTATTGCATCACTATCAGTGAAAGTAAACATAAAGAAAACTGCCAGATCCTTGCTCTGCTCCAATGCTTAAAAATGAACATATCAACCCTCAGCAATTTCTCAACACCAGGGTCCAGGCCACGTCGATATAAACATGATTAGTCGTTCTTCAATTTGTGCTGATGAAATTAATCTGAAGTTATCAGAATATGAGATGAGTGACTGTGACTGTGTCAGAATGAAAGTTAGCCTATTGAAAACGGAGAGCACTATTAAACCAGATAATGAAACCATTTATAGACTCCACATAAACAAGCTGTTTAATTGTTTTCTTACGAATACAGCACGCCCTCATCGAGGGGGGCCGTTTAAGAGCGCATTTTTAGATACCATCTCAACCATTCTTAGCAAAAAACAGCTCCTCCTCCATCGTGGGTACAAGTACAATAGCATAATGTTATCTGCAGCCCTACTTAAGTCCGACATTCTCACATTCCAACAGATTTCTAATTATCTGAAATGTCTGGGATTGCTCCTGGACAGTTTGGAGGCTGGGGCGTGGAGACAGTCTCCACGCCCCATCTTCACAGCTCCACTGTTATTATCTACCAACGGGAACTTATCTGGAGTCATGATCGGAATTTCAATAGTGTCACGTTGAAATTATCAAACTCTTATCTTTTATGTGGTGTGAAGATTAACATTATTAAGATATCACTCGCTAGAACATTAGATAGGCATGTTCTCGTTATGGCCAGCTAGAACGGACGGAATATGTTGTCTTTGAACGATTGTTCGTTTCGCACTCCTCATTTCTGTAGATCGCTCTCTCTTGAAATAGCACCAGTTGTTGATTAGAGGTGAATACCATTCTTCATCCACCCGGTTAATTGTGGCTTAAGAATGCTAGAGCTAGAGATGATAAAGCAGCTGATAAGCCCACGAAAGTTAAGGCCGAAATCAGAGAAGATCAAGAAAATTTACAGCCATTGTCACATGACAGTCACGTGCCAAAATCCCAAAGTTCGAACAAGATACGGCCGTAACTGCAATATAATTGACACAGCAATAGCAGCAAATCTGGGGAAACTTGGTGGACATTGACTTTTTTCACACAATTTGAGTATGTTGACTTCAACATTATGTTGCAGCTCATTGTGGTTAATCTCAATGTTGGAGTGATGTTTTTCTGGTGCACAAAACACTACAGTACGGTTATGTTGAATAATTGTGGTTAATGGGTCATCTATGTGGCCACTATGGTGGTTAAAATACCAGTTTTAGGGTTAACCACCATTTTGAGATATGATATTATGAACTGAGTAGTCATTATATTGAGATCATATCATGGTGCAACTATCACAAAAGTTTTCAAACCTCATGGGGGGCATTTTGTGGTCCTAATGGTGGTTAAATTGAAGATGAACGGTGAGCTATAAATATTGCTCCGATTATAGATGTATAGTGGTGGTTGTTCATTTGTGCATGGATGATAATTTTTTATCACAAATGTGCAACTTAATAGTATGGTTGATTTGAGGTGGTTAATATTCGTAAAAAGTGCTAAAAAGATGGTTAAAATGTCAAAATTTGTTGTTAACCACCAATCAAAACATTATTAATGATTTTAGTCAACATTTTATGGTCAACAAAGGACATTTGAAGGGTCTTGATAAAATTTTTCAAGAAATGTTGTCATAAAAGTGGTTAAAAGGGCTATATTACTTGCTAGGCTGTTGAACAAGGCATCTATTAAAGTGAAAATTAACCACAATATGAACTTCAGATAATGGTTTGCTATCCAAATGAGTGTATATTTGTTTGCAAATGCATAATTGACCCCAAGTTCATGCATTCCGATCAATGTGCAGCTAAGGTGGTTAAAATGTCTCGAAAATACCCTATATTTGCACTAATTAACCATTTTTAGAGCACATATTAGCTTTGTAAAGCTATAGCTGGCCATGCTACATTATCTAGATATAACTACCTGCTAATTTATATGACCAGAAACATTGCTGAGTCCTATGTTGCGTCCATCATGGTTAATAAAGGTCTAAAATTGACCAAAATCAGTGTTTTTGGTCGTTTTAACCACCATACGGCCACACATTTTGTTGCATTATCTTTAAAATCACTTATTATCCTCCAGCTATCTCTCATAATCAAATATCAAAACAAAATAAGGCACAAAAAGTTCGGAGGTTGCTGAATAATGGTTAATTTGTGATGGCTTCTGTTGACCGAAAGTCCAAAATAAACATGTTTTAACCACATTGAGGCCACATCTAAGGTTTTATGGTATTGGGACCATAGTCAAAAGTTTTGGGCACCTGAATGGTGACCTCTGCTTTTGAAATTATGGTGATATTTCAATGCTGTGCCATACCAGGTGGTTAAGTACGCGCTAGCGCGCGCGCACGCGTACAAACATGGTTTTTTTGATATACCACAGTTGGTGGTTAACTGTTCTACATCAAACCTTCACTAAAAGTATTGGGCACCATAGTGGTGACATAATATATAAAGAATTTAAGCCTAGACTAAATATGTTGGCCTACAGATGGTTAAGTACGCGCTAGCGCGCGCGCACGCGTACACTATAACATAAACAAATAAACCACTCCACAGACCACATTTATTAATTTTTTTAATTTCCTTCTTCAACTATGTGTCAATGAACCATTTTTGTTCAATAATGACCATCAATATTAACTGTAGTACTTATATCTTCACTGTAGTAAGGGTTTGGGTGTTAGAGGTATAAAAAATGTCCACTAACAAATCAGTCATTTTTCGACTACTTAACCACTTAACTCAGCACCAAAATGTTCTGAGATTTTTTTCGTTGCACTATCATGAAGCTATGACATTTTTGGACCTATGTAAATAATCAGATTACTAAAATTCATAATCTTTGATTTTTAAGGGGGGGTTAAATGCTTCAAATTGGTGTATTTCAAAGTTTCCCCAGATTTGCTGCTATTGCTGGACAGTGGTTATCAAATATAAGCACCCTAGGACCCACGTGCCAACATATACAGTCACGATGCCTAGCACTAAGCTATTCCAGCACCTGTCCAAAATTATTAATAATTCGGCCAGAATTACTCATTTCAGGGTGAGTGTTGTAGTGCTGTATATTCCAGCACTTGTATCACATCTGGGTATTTAACTTTGAGGAGGTCTACCTTACAACTGTACTTTGCCCGTTTCTTGGCAAAAGGTGGACTCCAGTGACCAGTTTGACCCCGAAAGTCGTCTCGGATGTCTTGAGTCGCTTGTGATTTTCTAATTTCATGTGAGGCACCCTACAATTAAACATGGTTAAGAATCCCCTGGATGGCATGCATAATGTTAAAGGCCAGGATGGGTTTATCTTTAAAACATTGTTGCGGTATCACCACACATTATCCGGCGCACCAGAATGTTATGTACCAAATACCATGCGTTCCCCCCTTGGCATGTCAACAACAGGGAATGCTAA